TTAGATTTACTTTCTTCTACTTTCGTATCAGTATTTTTTGTCTTAGATTTATTCTGTATGTTTTTCGCCCTGATTACTTCCTGTTCAGTTTTCGATGTTTTACTATTCTCCTCCAATCGATCTTTCAACGTTTTAATATTCTCTTCTAGTCGATCTTTCAACATTTTAATATTCTCTTCCAGTCGATCTTTCAACGTTTTAATATTTTCATTCACATGCTTTGCGATCTGCTCTCTCCACACTTTAAAATTCTTATCCACATAATTTTTGTGTGCAGTGTCATTGAAGGCTTCCGGCCACGTTACATGTCGTATTTTGATCCCTTTTGTATCAAAGAATTTACGGTCGGCAGATACAAAGAGTATTATCTTGTACATATCGTTTGCTCGCAAAGTTGCGCAAACTATCAGTCGCAAATTTTGTGAAACGCTCTTCCACATATTGTTTGGTTGCAACGTCACTATTGGCTTCCGGTTGCGCTATATGTTATATCTTGCGAGACTTTGCGTCAAAATCTTTAGCCGCGTTTAGACAAAAGCAAATTTTCATGTACATAACTTCCAACGTATTCATCTCATCGTTCTACAGGAACAGTTCTGGAGCTATTATTCTTTCGCGATGTTCCAAACTTCCATCGACATTTCGACACGAGCAGTATCGACTGACTGACTCGTGTCAACGCTGCGCTGTTTAATTTATAATGAGGCCAGTTTCACGGAGTTCTTCGATAATTGATAAAATTTCATTGCCGTGGGCATTGTTGCCAGCTTTACGCGAAGCTTTCAGTAATCGTAAACGATCCATCAGCTCATTGGGATCATCCCAATACGTATAATCGATTTTGTTTTCGTTTAACGTCATCACATCTCGCGATACGGAGAAGCCTTTCCCTACCGCCTTATTGCTCGACATGTGTGATACCAGAGGGCTTATTATATTCTTATACTTGTATCCTTTGTTACCGAGTATAGGATTTAGAGGGTTGTAGCCGCGTCTGTGAGTATTCGTCTTCAACAGTATACTTTTGTACTTGTGTTTGTCGGCTTCGGTGTACACGGTATCGTCGGGTATTCTCTTGAATATCAGCTCGTAAAGATCTGGTGTTCCCATGTATCTTGTTTCATCAATGATTATATTATCGTCTCTGTCCACGTCGATGCGTTTATCACCTAGCGTCGCTTCATCATTATCGAAACGTACACCGTAAACGTGACCTATAGTTGTATTTTTTCCACCACTTAACATCGCTCCAAAGTATTGTTGTCCCAGGGGACCAAGGTGATCGCGCAACGTTTGTTGTCCCGCGCGCGTTTGTAACTGATGTCTAATGGATGTCGCGAGCGGCTCATCCGGGGTCTCGAAAACAGTATTCTCATCATCATCAATAGGTAGAATGTCATTCGATTCATGCGATTGCTTTCCTCGATGTAAAATATATCGAAGAATCGTCTAATCGTATCCGTTTTTCGGTGAAGGCAATGAGAACGTATTTGAATAATCCCACATGTCCAATAATTTCCCACTTGTCATGTGCGTCTTTTCTTTCGATTTTGATTTCGCACTCTTTGCTTCGACGTTCGTACTCACCGATGGTGTCTCAGTTTTAACACCGACGTTACCCTCTACATTAGCGGTACTTTCCGCGATTTGCTTCAGAGGTTCGATGACGGGTTTAAAATGTCTCTCCAATGCAACATCTTTCTCCATTCTACCGGTTTTCAAAACGTGATACTTCTTGCAAATCGATTTGCTCGTTCTTGCAATCTCCTTCGCAATCTTCTCGCGATCCTTGATGTTCATGCTACTATTGATCATCATTGATGCGCTCTCGTGGATATTGAAGCGACGTTAGAACGGTGTTGGAACGATGTTATATAGTTAGAACGATGTTGAAATAACGTAGGAACGATGTTGGAATGATATTACCACGTTACAACGATGTTGGACCGACGTTGAAACGATGTTAAAACGACGTTGGAACGACGTTGGAACAATGTTGGAACCACGTTGGAACGATGTTGCCACGTTGAAGTAACAACGACGATTGTACAACTCACAGCATAGCAAAATCGTTAAATCCCTTCTTCGACCATTGTTCATAGAACTGTCCTTATCAATCACTATAAAGCCATATTTATGTTGCCAACATTCAGGACACAATGCATTAAAATCCTCATATGACATGTCAGTATTCACATGATCGTTGTAAATATGTTTCAAGTTGGTACCATCCTGTTTGAAGAGAATCAGTAGATTTGCGTTGTCGCGTATAAGATGCTTGGGTATCTTTGCATACGTTTGACAGAGATAGAAATAGTCAACGTTCGAATGGCGACCCATAGCAAAGTATTCCTTTATTACATCTTGTTTGTCACATACAACGTCGTCAAAAATAAAAATGGAATTAGGAAGCGCTTCTGTCGTTGAAATCACGTTGCTGTTATTGGAGAATGTAAAGTAACCAATTTCATCAATCG